GTCTGCGCCCCCCCCCCCCCCCCCCCTGCCCCCGCCAAAATCAACAAAATCCTCCATTTCAAACAAACCTGCAGGTTTTAGAGCAGTCCAGAAAGGATCTCTTGCTTGAACTCTGAGAAGTGACCCAGAATACCTGTGAATCCCAAACAGTTACTCCTGGCCCATAATTCCCTGTTGAGGAGTATTGCTTCACAATAGCCCAAACTATTGAGTCACTACTCTTCCCACAACATGAATAATGGTCTCTCTGGCTCATGTATTAATGTACTATATCAGCCATAGGAAACACATTGCCTTGTTCTTCACAGCTCTTTTACTCCTCATACAAGCACAGTATGTGCAAATAAATTAATCATTTCTTTGACACAGATTTGCTTACATAGTGGCTGGAATCCTTATCATCCACCTTTCTCTTTTTGATGTCGTTGGTATATTCAGGGCCATTCCTGCGTTTATCTGTGCTTCGCAGACTGTCCGGGACCAACAGAGAATTACTCTGTGAAGACAAAAAACAAGGTCAATCAAAAATTCCTTTCAAGATTCCTTCTTTTATGCTTAAAAACTCAAATTGGATGTGATAGATGCTTTAGAAATGTGATACCTACGTAGTCTTTCATTCCATTTAATTCAACTCAAAGTCCTCCAGGCAGACATCTACAGTGTCATGCATTCTAAGAAGCCTGGCTTTTCATTGTTCAACTTATCAAAAGTTTAGTTCACTTGTCAGTCACCATCTATTTAACTAATTAATTCAACTGAATTTATTGTTTAGGAGAAGCAAACTTGCTGTTTATTCATGAGCAGGTAACAATGATTTTTTAATTTATTTTTTTAATATGCAGATCCCATATAATAAAAGAGACTTACTAAATATAATCTGATTGATTGCTCACTTCTAGACCATCATAAATATATGAGGCTTTGGTATGTCTACATCTGCAGGCATGGACAGATATATGGCAACTTGCCTTTACCTCTTAAAACAACAAATATTTACCAAATAAAGTTATGCAGTAATCATGTTAGCAGCAGTAAACTGCAGTTGGATGCCTTCAACAAATGTATTGCAAACAAAGATCAAATATTTTTACTTCCAGCATAACATTCACTACTAGTGTGAAATTAAGGCTAAAGTGTTGTTTAATCAGACTTGAGCTGAAAAACTGAGGCAAACACACACACAAAAGACAAAAGCAAAGACTAATCTTTTCCTCAAACTACATGGACTGCTTTCATTCATGCTAAGTTATGCTAAGTACAAACTGTTGACCCAAAGAGAAAGGTATTTTAGACATTTTTCAGTCACATGACAATTTGACATGCCTGCGATTCCCATCTCCATCTCCGTTCCAGCTAAAGCATTAAACGTGTTACAATGAGTTCTTTTAAGTGCAGGATTAGCATATGCAAGAGGGCAATTTGTTCAGTCATGTGTTAATGCTGTGAACAATACTGAATGAGTCGAGAAAAAAAATCTCCTTTCACAAAGACCTGGTAAGCCTAGTTCCTAAAAGCCAAGTACACGCTTACATAAATAAATATATGCTTACATAAATATCTAAGTAAATACGTATTTACACGCATACACATATATCTCACAAGAGAAAGCCTAATACCAACATACATACTATGATACAACTGTAAGCCCTCAAAGGAAATACTTAGATTTACCCAAGAGCCAGAGATATTTACTCTTAATATATCAAACATATACTAACAGCCAGTGAACAGTGCACTGAATGGCTTCCCCTTTAAAATCTGAGGACACCACGGTAGTTTTGCTCAGACATTAATGTTAGTCCCAAGGAGAATGAAAATAAAACCGGGTACATAAGGTAATCTGAATCCTCTTTTTCCTACTTCAGAAGCTGCACTTTAAAGCCAACTCTAAGCTCTTTTATTCATGACTATTCAAGCTAAACAAATGCCAACGGGCTTACATAAAGCATATAGGAGGGTCTAATGAAATTCAGTATAAAGAAGCTCAAAATAATGTCTTCACCAAATGTTTTGCAGCTACAACATGGGGTTGTTGGATCACTGAACTAATTGCCTTGACAAATACAGTCTGAATTTAACCTCTCATCTCCTCCCAGATGCACACAAACTCAGGGATTCACTAGTTTGAAAAATATTAAAAGCCATCTTCAGTATTTTAATATTGAATCCAAGGCATCATGTCTGTAGCAGTAGAAACATCTTAGGAAGCAAGCTGTCGATTCAAACTTGATGATAGATTTGAGTACTGCAAATGTCTTTTCTTAAGGAGGAAAGTCTTTTAGTTAAGAGATACTTCCCTTAAAAAAAATCATTAAAAAAAGATCTATTTTACTACTGAAGAGCTTAAAATAAAACAATGAAGGCAAATGCAGTAAAGTGAATAAACTCAGTTTCTCATTTTAAATTGCCCAAATTAAGCGTGCATAATGGAAAGGTGGCAAAAGGGTAGCAGCTGGGAAAAATATAGCAATGTTGCTATTTTAAGTTATTACACAGAAGGGTAGGGAACAGCTTGCAAATTTTGGGATCAAATACATGTAACTACAATGGCTGATATTTTTTTCTGGTTTAATGTAAAGTCTACCTAGACAACACTGACAATATTCTGTACAATTTGTCTTGTAGGATTTAAATACTGTGAAACATACCTAGGAACTCCTAGGTATGCTTGGCTCCCACTGTGTCCTAAATGCCAAACAAAGATTATTGGATTTGATTTTTCCTGAAAAGACTGATGTCTTACTTAGCACCTAAACATATAATTATAACAATAATTTACAGTCCTCACAAGCCTATTCTGCATAACATCTCCCCTATGGTCATATTCACACTGCCTTTCTCTAACTTACCACATCCATTTAAAGCACTGTTCTCTGGAATCAGAGCATCCACGCTAGAAGCTGTTGTGAAGCAGCTTATTTCACAATAGCTATACTGGCAGTTGCAAATACCATGCTGTTACTCTGGCAAAATTTACCAGTAAACTCAATAATTAAAAAGTTACTGTTTTGTTTCCCTTAGGAGTACAAGGAAGTTCTTACAATTCTGACTAAAATCAGGTAAAGTATAACTTTTGATGAAAAAATAGCTTGCTACTGTAACCTACTACCATAATTCAAACCACCAATTGTGTAAGATTTCATTCAACAATATGAAAATATGCACCTTTTTAAGTAGTACATATGGTAGATCCAGAACACTGAAGTAACAAAGGAAATAAACGAAAATACAAAAAAGAACTGGGAAAGACATGATCATATAAGCCTTGGGCTATTGACATCTCTTGCAGCTGTAACATTAAGGTTCAGGGAACGGTGACGACAGCCTACTAAAAGCCACCTTTCCTCATTTCAGCTCTGGTAGAGTTTATATTTGCTATATGTTCACTATCAAGCATAGGACCAGCTAGGAGACAGCAGCAACAGCTTTACAATGACAAAGTTCTCCTTAACTTCTCTTTAAAAAAAAAAAAAAAGTCTGTTTAGTTCTTCTACCAGGCCTACTAACATCTGACTTATTTTCAAAATAAGGACAAGTATTTTTATTTTAGCTATGATATTTATGCAATTTTTTAAATACCACCACATTTTCAGTTGGGATTGATCTTCAATAATAATCAGTTGGTACAAAAAGGGCAAAAAAAGATATATACATGCATAGTTGATTTCCTAAAGAGAAACTGCATGACATCAGTTTTCGTTTTGTCTGAATTTCAACAGACTAGACACACGATTGAGGATAATTCTTGCTTTCATACTAGGAGTTCAATTTATTAGGGATTACCAATGCAACATCTGTAAATCATGAATCTCAGATCAGAACAAATGGTCAAAATCAATTTTATGTAAATGTTTTCTTTTTCTTCCAATAATTGAAAATTTATTCACATGAATCCCTTTTCTTCAAATAAGTCCTGAAAGAAGAAAAAAAGCCTAACGTAGCACCGCTTGCTGTCAGAGTTACCAGACTGCATAAGGGCTGTATAACAGGCAATTTGGGATCCTAAAGCAACTTTGCTGCCAGCAAAAGTTAAACACTGAAACCACCAGCAGTAAATGTGAAACGAAAACCTAGTCATGATGCACAAGAGAGAAGGCAGGTTCCCCATTAGGAATATAATGCACATTATTCAAACGCACTCCTTCGACTGCCATGCCGTTTCCCATAGGAACTACTTCCAAACCACAAGTACGTGTGCCAGGGGTACAGGCTGAGAGCCGACAGTATCTCATTTAGCCCGAGTTATAATACAGCACAGACAACTCACTAGAACATTCAGAACTGACAATTAACTTTATGCTGATCATTACAGCAATTAAATAACAGTATTTACATCACACCTGTGCTCATGGTTCAACTACACCTGGTCCCAATTAAGATCTTCTCTAGCGCTAGGCTCCTTATCCTTCCCACTCCCCTTTCCCCCAAAGACACACACACACGCACTTGCTCTGTGCTTGGCCATTCACTGACTCGCTATACATCCAAACCAACTGCACCCAGCTGCCATTACAGCCAGTTATTACAGCTGACAACTTGCACTGGCCCGTATCACCAAGCAGGGCTGCTGTGTTTACTTAACCACTACGCTGGACCTGTGCCACTGCACCACACACAAGTGCTATCTATAGATATCCATACGTAGACAGGAACAAATGCAATCCCTTGTTGAGTAGGCAAAACAGGTTCAAGTCTGACATCTACAAACAAAACATCAGTTGCTCAGCAGTCCCACTGCTCATTGTCAGGACTCACTGATAGGAATATAGTGGATGTCGGGAGAGGGACTAGTGCTTAATCATCCCCCAGCAAGGCACAAGAAGATTGCACTCAAAGTTATTCAGCTCAAGAATCATTAATATCCATTTGTTGAATATGCTTCTTGTAAACACATGTCAACAACCCAAAAGTTGACTTATAAAGTCAGTTGGTTTTGTGTTAAATTACCAGTGGTGGAAAGCTACTGACTTTGCCCTCTTTTCGCCCGCTACTTTAAGTTACATTTAGACAAGTATGTTCATATTAGGAGCAAGGAAATCTAGAAGCCTAAATGGATTTGATTCACTCTCCACATTGATTCAATAATCAGGAGACATTAACAGAGAATAAGGCTTCTCTTGATTTCAGTATTTTCTAGCTAATGTTTGTCAGAATCAGGATATCCATAAAAGTTTATACCAAACCACCCCAATCCTCTTGTCCTTCGTCATCAGCCTCATGCTGCTTTGTATCAGCTACAAACTAAACTGCAACATAGCATCCCACAGCTCTTCTGCTGAAGCTATGTTGTGGTTTGCATCTGTAAAGACTAAGATTTGACTTATTTTTAAGCTGACAGAGCCAATAAAAATAAAAGATACAACTGATAAAGAAACTCAAGTCTTTCCATTACAAGCTATATAATGGAAAATAATACTTCCTCACAAAGGCCAAGAAGCATACACGTGCTACACTGAAGAGTACCCTACATTTTCATATAACTCCTTTTATGATTCCCATTTAAAAGAATTAAAACACAAAACAAAACCAGCTTGCATATAGTATCAACCAAAAAGTAGTATTCAATTGCGCATGCCACCTTCCTCCAAGACTGGGAGGAGAAGAATAGGACAGAGACCAAAGGACACAAGAATATTTTTCTGCTGTAAGAAAAGAGCATTTGTTTTAGAAAATAATAGCAACATCTATGCTTAAAAATGAAGGCAAAAACATTTCTTGGAAAATTTATGAATACTTCCTAAGTCTTAAAAAACAAGTTCAATGTTTTTCATGAGGACAAAAGATAAACACCAACCTTAATGTAAATCCCAAGCACAAGTCAGATTTCACTGTCTACAAATTGTTACTGATATAATAGAGCATTTCGGAACATTTGCATTTCTATGCTGTCCAAACAGGATACTATAACAGTGGGAAGACGAGTGATAAATGAACACCCAAGATGAGTTTGAAAAATGTTGCCAGTATGTTCCCTAGAGAAAAAAATGTGGACATCAAAGTTCTTTCATACTGATGTCTCCCAAAACTTTATTAAGCTTCAGTTGCAAAACTTGCTTACTTTGCCTGGCTTCATTGGCTTCATTACCTGCAGCCAGACTGTGTCACAACAGTAAGGACGCCTGCATAATAACATGACCCAGTTTTAGATGGTTAGAGCTACACCAGCCAAACCCCCCCTGCCGTTGTCCATGTAGTCCTATAATTTCATTTTGACCAAATAATTTTAGCAGTTCATGTATGAAGTATACTAACTTAAATGTTATATATTTCATAAACATGCATTTACAAAGAACTTTCTTTCATTTTATTTCCTGAAACTTTAAGTAATATAAAACAGAAAAGTGTCGCCCTTGCTATTTAGATATATTAAGTAGGTAAAATGGACACTGATCACAATCAAGAATAATGAAATCACTACATGTTTATATTCCTTTACAAATACATGAATCTCACTGCATTATGAAGTATTTCTAAACATACAAGACGTAAAAGCTCGTGACTGCTTATTTGCCTAAGTAGACTTCAAAAAAGTAAAACCAGATGTCATTTAAAAATTAATATGCCCAAATAATATGCCACAATATGCTTTAACTCAAAGTTATGTAAAAAAAACCCTCAATTTAAAACCAAACAGGCAAGCATTAAATTGTGATCTTTCAACCTTGCACATTTAAAGCTGTCAGCTTCTACTGATGATACTGGAAGGTCACACTAGACATATTTGATGGAAATCATACTGTAGAACTGCACAGTAATACCAAATATCACGGCTAATTTAGGTAACTAACAGACAACATGGGTTTTGGTGTCTTGGATGATGAAAGCAAGCCTTTGTCAGGATTTCTGGCAGCACCATTGCACTTAAAATGTTACTCTGAAAATCAAATTGATCTTACCTTGGTAACCCAGACGTTATAAAGTAATTTGCAAAGTAAAAGCCTACTGCTCAGCTGGAACCACATGTAATAATAAAACAGACCTGCTGGTATGCCTCGTGTACTCATGACCAACTTTATATTATCCTTAAAAATATATTTTCAATTAAAGAGAAATACATTAAAGATACAAGAGAATTGGAGAAGCTAAAGAGCAAATCATTCCCAGTTGATCATTTTCGTCATAGATTTGAATTTGACTATCACTTGAATTACGATTCTTTCATTGAAGGCATCGTTTACCATTAAGCCAAGATTCTAATGCAACACTGTATTTAAACAATTTTAAGTTCAAGTTCATCTGTAATCAGCTATTAAAGTTTAATTTAATTATGAAGTCTTATTCTCCACTGGGACCAAAAAGAAACTACGGCCACCATAGTGTAGTAACCTGAACTCAATATATCCATACAGCAAAGTTCTTCTATGTAACAAAGCCTCAGATTGTTTAAAGGTTACTTAGTAGTAAACCCAGCATAAAAAAGCCTACTCCAGATAATAACCAAGCAATCATGAGTTACACATATGGAGACAGAAGTAACTGCAGCAACAATTGTATGTACTTTAATTAAATAAAATTTACATATATAGTAAACTAAGCCAGTGATATTGCACATTTCCCACAACACAAAAGCTGGGTTTAATTTTTGACAGTTCTCCTTCCATAGGCAAGAACTACTCTCAGCTACAAGATGAATTCAGAGTCTGAATTTCACAACACTGTGAAGCATCTGATTTTAAACTCAAAAACCCTTTAGCAAAGTACATAACAGACAGGGCAGGGGAGGATGTGAAGAGAGCAAGGACAGAAAACACAACAACCATAGCAAAACACAAAGCCATCACTCCCACGTCTGCACGTGTGTGTACACACACAGACACACACTGCAAACCTCCTTCCTTAGCTCTTATGAAAAGTTGTTGAGAATCCTGCTCTTGACTAACATCACTCAAAGAAATATGTCCTTCCCAAAGAAATATGTCCTTAATAAGTCTGAGGCTTCAGGAAGACCCAGCTTAAAATTATTTCCACAGTTACACTGTCATTAATAACATTAAGCAAGCTGAAATGAATGCTTCTCGCTTAGTAATCTAGAAACAAAAAAGACTGCCGTAAAAGATATGCAGATAGTTTCCAGTAAATAATTGTCAAGCCCTAGTACAAAAAAGAAAGGCAGCAATAAAAATCAGAAATTTAGTACCATAAAGATACCTATCAAATAACTTTTCCTAGTTCTTGTCTTCTCTAATTGAGAAAAACAAAATAGAGCCCAAATTCATCTATGACATCAACAAGGAGAATTAGCTTTGTTTCTTGAAATGACATGAAAGTTGCACATGTCTATCTCCAACAGATTAATATAGCAGTGCCACTCAAAACACAACATCATAAAAAGCTGTAACAAAGTAGTTCTTTGGCTGGTTTTCGGATAAGATTTTCTCAGACCAATTCTATTACAGCTTATGTCTAAAGGAAAATAAAGTATTGCTATGGAAGTTATACCTGAAGCACAAATTAGGCAGTAAAGACATTAGTACAGCTTAAATAGATTCAGTTAAAGAAACTCCTAGGGCCTAACACCATCATGACACATGAATTTTATATTTCCCACCTGTTCTGCAACTCTTAATTCCTGAAAATCCTGCAGGAAAAATCTTAACTCTGACTAATAACATTTAAGTTGCAGTCAACGTTCTGTCTGATTTTCAGCTTCCCTCCCACTCCCAAAAAACAAACTAAAGTTCAAGCTTCCCCAAAATCATTCTGCTCAGAAACAAACCTGATTCATACAGTTCTCCAAACAAATGACTTGGTGTTCTGCATAAACTAAGAGATATCTTAACAGAAAACACATAAGCTAGTATCATGAAACTGACTAAAAGGAAGACAAAACAGACAAACAGTGCAATGTCTGGTTATTTACATTACGAAGAAGTGGAAACATTAGC